ACGGGCATGCGTCACTCCTACGGTAAGCCGAACGGAACCTGCGCCCGTGTCCGCATCGGCCAGATCCTCTTGTCGATGCGCACGAAGGAGGGTTACGTTCCGCAGGCGCTGGAGGCTCTCCGTCGCGCCAAGATGAAGTTCCCCGGCCGCCAGATCGTCGTCATGTCCAAGTACTGGGGCTTCACAGACATTCTCCGCTCCCAGTACGAGGCGCTGCGTGACGCTGGCAAGCTGCAGCAGCGCGGCATCCACGTCAAGCTCATCACCCCCAAGGGCAAGATCACGCAGCGCAACCTGATGGCGTGAGCCACAACCACCTTATTTATGTTTGCTGGTTTTCGTTTCTCTGTTTAGAGCTTCCTTTTTATTTGCTGTTTGGCGCTGCTGAGCTTTGCTTGCCTTCGTTTTGCGTTTGCCGCCAACGTCTCGGCGTGGGGTGGGCGGCTCCTGCGGCAGTCAATAGTTTTCTACTTCTTCCTTTTCTTCTTGTTTGTGTGTTGGTTTCAATCTCGTGTGCTTGTCTGCTGGTCGGCTGAGGTCAAAGCGCGAATCCGAGTGAAGTAGTGGAATCCGTCCTTGTCCTGGAACAGCGTGGGAGGGGTGGCGACAATGCGGCACCGCCATGCTCGATTGCAGCGCTTGGGAAGGCGAGCTCTGAATCCGGCGCTTTCGTACGGCGCGGTTGTTGGCGGGCTTCTCCGCTCCCCACCACGTGGTGACTGCTTGGCCTTCACATCGTGTGTTGCCGCGGCTGCAGGATCGGTGGGACTTGGCGTGTCGAGGCGTTTTTCGTCCACAAATGCCAAGCGGGATTTGTACTCCGTGCTTGGTGTCGCGCGGAATGCCTCGCCGGAGGAAATTAAGTCGGCCTACAAGAGAAAGGCCAAACAGCTGCACCCTGACGTTAACCCCAACCCGCGTGCGGCGGAGGATTTTGCGGATGTGAAGCAGGCATTTGACGTGCTGTCGGACCCGCAGAAGCGGAGCATGTACGATATGACGGGCAACTCAGGTGCCGCAGATAAATTTGGCGCGGGTCCTGGTTTTAATCCGTTTGCGCAGGCTGGTGGCGAGAATCCCTTTGCGGGTGCCAATCCTTTTTCTTCGGCGGCGGGGGGGCAGGGGTTTTCATTTAACGATTTTGAAGAAATTTTCCAAAAGATGAGTGGGGCGGGCAAAGACAAGGCCCGCAAACCGCAGGGACCAGAGCCTGGGGCGGATATTCACTTTAAGCTGCGTCTTTCCTTCCTGGAGGCGGTCAACGGATGCAGCAAGGAGATATCGTATAACACCTTCCGTCGCTGTGGCACGTGCGCGGGAAGCGGGTTTCAGGACTCGGGCGCCAAGGCGAAGTGCGTGCACTGCGGGGGACGGGGGAAAAAGGTGATGAGTACAGGTTTTTTTCACATGCAGCAAGATTGCACCCACTGCGGCGGGACAGGGGAGACGGGACGTTCGTCGTGTACGCATTGTAGCGGAAAGGGAATCGTGAAGGACCGCAGTGTGCAAACCCTGCCTGTTCCCAAGGGCGTAGACAACAAGGAGCGCCTCAAGGTGACCGGGAAGGGTGAGGCTGGGGTGCGCAACGGGCCACCAGGCAACTTGTACGTGGAAATTACAGTGGACGAGCATCCAGTGTTTCACCGCGAGGGGTGTGACATTCACGTCATCACGCCGATATCGCTTGCGACGGCGGTGCTGGGAGGCACGGTGCGGGTCCCGACGCTGACGGGCGAGGTGGAGACGAAGGTGCCTGTCGGGACGCAGCAAGGCGACAAGCTCGTCCTGCGTGGCCGTGGCGTTCACCGGCCGAACCAAAACAAAACGGGCGATTTCTTTATTCACTTTGCCGTGATGCTGCCTAAATCCCTCACCGAAAGGCAGAAGAGCCTCATCGCGGAGTTCTCCAAGGACGAGAAACCACTGGAGCTGACGGATCCGCAGCTGCAGGAGTTGAAGAACCGCTATAAATCGTGGTTCTCCGCCTAGAGAAGATGTGCGTGAGTCCGCGACGGCAGTTGTGCGCACGCTGCCGTGGCCCATTGGAGGGGGCCCCACGGAAAAAAATGAGATGGAGAAAATCAAAGAGGCGCGAAAGTGGTGGAGCACCAGAGTGCGAACTCTCTTTGCAAGGGAATAACAAAAAAAAAATACACGCGCACACGTACACCACCAGCAGCGGTAGCGGCAGCAGCGTCAGCAAAACAATGCACAAGCAAAAAAAAATATGAGGCGAGTAAATAATAGAAGCAAGAACACGAAAAAAAAAAAAACTGCACTGTGTGCGGGAAGGCGAGAGTTGTATGATAAACGCCCCATGCTATATATAATTTATCCCTCTCCGTCTGCGTAGGTGTGCTCATTGCATAGGACGTGAAAAAAAAAAAATGAAATAAGAAAAGGAGTGTGGTTTGCTGCGGGGCTCTTTTAAAGGAGGTTGATTTGTAAATCTGACCTCCGTCTTCACAGAACGCAAGGATATTAAACACACACACACACACACGCACGCACACATACGCATTGTGTGTCCAGCCTAATACTTCTTTTTTCGTTTTATTTTTGTCTCCCGTGACTTATGGAGTGAAATGCCGCTGTCGAAGCTCAAGAAAAACAACTTCACGGGTGGGAGAAAAACGAGAGCATTTTGTCTTTCTTCTTTTTATTGTAATTGGGAAGGTGGATCTCTCACTGCAGCTCACACACGTCCTCTCTCTCTCTCTCTCTCTCTCTCTTCCTGTGTGTAGCTCTGAGTGTGTCTTGCCCCCGCCACGTCGAGACCGCTTCAGGGCGCGTTGTTGTTGTTGTTGTTGTTGTTGTTGTGGCTGTTGTTGTTTAGTTCTGTACATCTCACCATTTTTATTCTTTTTGAAAAAACAATTGGGCGTCGGGCATGTAACCCAAAGGCTGGTCATGGGGAGAAGGCGGGTGGGAGTTGCTGGGCGATCTTCGTCTCGTTTCTCACACTTTTTTTTTGTAATCGCCTCTCTCCCTCCCTTTGTTTTTTTTTTCTCTCTCTCCCTCACACGCATTCATAAAAAAAAAACAAGAAGGATGGACGCATCATTGCCCCCTACATTCTTCGAAGAGCATCGGGGTGTTGATGCGCTTGAATTTTTAATATTTTCAAGTCACACGTGCCACCAGTACTTTTTTGTCCCTATCGCTTCTATGCTGCTCTTGGTCTGTGTCGTTATGCGTAGTCGCGGCATCTCTTCCTCTCTCTCTCTTCTTCTAGCGGCAGCATCGTGGTTCTGTAAAGTAGCTGCGGTGGGCCTCTTTGAGGGGTAGTGCGTTTAGTGAGTTGAGGAAATATATATATATATACAATACGGTGCGCATAAGCGTCCTTTGCACGCAGCGACGGTGGCATTTTGATTGCTAGTGTGCGGAGCGTCTGCGTGTTTGTTTGTGCGGGCTGTGCAGGTTCCAAAGGAAGTTACAGGAATAAAGCGGGTAACATCCAAATAGTATATTTTTTCTTTGGGAATGATCAGGAGTGATGGCGATGCTGCCCTGGAGGAGTACGGCCTTTTGCTGCAGGTTGTGCGGGACCACATGCTGCGGCGTCAAGGGCCCGGCCAGCCACTTGTGCTCCAACTTCAGAGCGACGGGGCGGAGGGCGGCGATCACGTCACGTTTTTGCTTGGACAGGTCGTGGCGGACCCACCCGACCCTGTGAGAAGACAGCCGCGGCCGGGGGACGGCTCCGGACCACCGGCTGCCTCCTTGCCATTCTTGGCAGAGCTGGGTCCCTTGCTTCTTCAGGCGCTGGCGATGCAAGTGATATTCGGCGAGCAGCGACGCCGCATGGCGGCTCCTCTTGACCAGGAAGCAGTAGGAAGACTCCAGCGCATGAAAATAAACCGTGATATAGTGGCCCAGCTTGAGATGGAGGGACAGGGAGTCTGTTCCATCTGCCAGGAGGCCTTTTCCGCCGGCTGCGAGGTGTACCGCCTTCCGTGTGGACATATGTTTGACGTCTTGTGCCTGAAGCAGTGGCTTGAACGCACGCGAACGTGCCCCAACTGCCGCTTCATCTTGCAGGATGTGGATCAGCAGTACAGGGATGTGGTTGCACCGACATGGTGGAGAAGCGCAGGCGAGAGTGCAGAGGAGCGGGAGGGGAAGAAGTGCCAGTGCGTTGCCACCGTACTGGGAGGGGAGGCGCCGGCCCATAGCCGTTTACCGACTTCACTGGTCGTCGAAGTTGCGGACGCGGAGGTTCGCAGTCGTCACCCGCAGCTCCCGCAGCAGACCTTGCGGACGCAGCAGCAGCAGCCACAACAGCAGCGGCTTTTGGGATTGTTGCCGCAACCAGTAGGAACGTTGAGGGCGCCTTCACCCGTCTCACTTAGTAGCATGACGGATAGAGAGGCATCGTTGGAGGGAAATGGCGGGTATAGTTTTCTGTCTATTTATGGGGCTCCGGCGCATCGTGGAGTTAACCTGGAACCAGTACCACCGCCGACTGTGCCGCAGCGAACAGGTGGGGCATTCCGTGAAGAGCGTTTTGCGGAGGAGGCAGTAACGCCGCCGTCGCATGCCCCGTCGCGTTTAAGCGAGTTGCGTATCGCGGGAAATGTCAACCGCGCCTCGCAACGGCGGGATCGTCTTCCCGTGCACGAGGAGCAATGGTCTACGCCCCTACACTGGTCTGAGCTATCGTTGCCATCCTCTGGCACATTGGAGGGGGACGCGGCCGCCAGCCCCGCCATTGCTAGTACTGTGGGGGAGGCGCCTTTTTCCCTCGCGCAGCATGTCATTAGTGACGGCGGTGGGGACGACGTTTCGACGTCCCTGCCGCGTGGCACCCCTCGCTCGGAGGAGAGTCAAACCTTCGGTGGTGACACATTGATACAAAATGTACTCCTTCCTCCACAACCGACGGGGACGCCAGCAGTGGCGGGTAGTGCAAGGCAAGTGGTGCAGGCGTTGCGACGGCAGCGCGCGGAGGAGGTGCGCCGTGTGCGGCCAACCAACAGCAGCAGCAATAGCGGCAACCGTACGGAGGTCCACAACGGCATCTCTGATAGGTGTCCGCCACGCCACAGACCGGCCTTTTCCAGGAGATTCACCGCCCACCCAGGTCCAAATCCGCCCCCGCCGCCCCTGCTGGCCCCGCCTCACCCCTCGCTGCCGTGGATCCCAGTGGAGCGTCAACGTCGTGTCAGCATGAATAGCAGCAGCGGGGGCGGACACAACGGGCCACTGTTGACGGGGGACTCACAGTCCCAACAGAGTCGCGGTAGTCGCCGCAACTTGGCGCGATATGAAGCAGTTATCCGTGGTCAGCAAGGCAGGAGATGGTAAAGAGCTCCTCAAGTCCATCCCCTCTCCAGCAAAAAAAAAAAAAGAAGAGAGAGACGCGAAAAGCAAGGATCCACGGGAAAGGGAAAGTGGAAAAGTAAAAAAAAAAGCGAAATTGACAGCTGATTTATTGCCTGAATCGCAAACTCATACAACGATATAGTTTCATGTCCCCCTTTCAATTATCTTCCTTGTCCATCTGTTTTTGATTATTTTTAGTCGTGAACTGGTAGGATTGTTGAACTCCCACTGCGTACCAACTACAGCCAGCAACTGATATGTCTGAGGTTGAATGGGTTTTTCCTGCCGTTTTTTCTTCTTCCTTTTTTTATTTTCCTTGTGTTGTCCCACGTGTTTTGGTTTGGTTGGTCGCATGTGTACAGTTTTTTTTTTTAGTGGTGCCTTCGTCTCTCTCTTTTACTTGAGTTCGACCGCCACGTTTCCTTGCGACACTCCGTCCCCCCCCCCTCCCTCCTTTCGTGTTCTCCTCGGCTTCCTTTGTCATTGCGTGCACCTTTGCGCTTCCCGTCTTCTTCTGTCTTTGCCCCGTTCCTTCGCTATGCGTGCGTGTGGGTCAAGGACCCGGAAGGAATAGTAAGGACAAAATGTCAATGTTTGGGGCCCGCGAGGTGCCCGACGACACCTTCTCGTCGGACATTACGAACATTTCTGCGAACTACCTCAACGAAAACAACTGCCAGCGTTTTTGGCAGCGACTGATGACGTGCGTGCGCGAAAGCCAGGAGCTCGACGTGCTCTACGACTGCCGCAGTCGCATGATTGACCTGCGCGAGTGTGTCACGCGGCATAAGCAGAGCACGTGGGTGTTTCGCGAGACGATGGCGACGCTCCGAAACGAGGAAAAGTTTCGACGGTGGCTGAAGGAGTACGACGAGTCCTTCGGCCACCCCCCGCTGCTGGAGGCGGTGGAAAAGGTGCGCGGGAAGTTGGAAAAGGAGGGAGGCGTAGCGGTGCTCAACCCCACCGTTTTTCATGACCCCGACATCTTTATCCCGCGAGAAAAGGCGTGAGAAGACTCCGTTTGGAAAACGGGGTTCAGACAAAAAAAAAAGAGTGGAGGAGGGAAAAGAGAGTAAACGAAATAGACTAAAAAGCGCGGGTCACGGAGACCATGGGAGAAATGATACGGCACGTGAGGGAGGGGGAACTGGGTTGCAGCTCAGTGGGTGGGGACTCAAGAAAGCAAAACATTTGGGGTGGGAGTATTTGTTTTTGAGCGACGGTGGTGTGCGGATGTTGTCCTTCCCGGTCCGTGCAGTGTTGTCTCCCATGTTTCTTGCGGCTCTGTCGTTTTTTCTCGCCCTTGTTGTAGCGATCAGCCCGTGCGACTGTGGAGTGGATGGACCCGCAGGTTTGGGTTGTTAGTAGAAATAGTTCTAGTCTCTTCTTTTTTTTCGGCGAGATTGCTTGTGTGTATCTGCGTCTGTGAAGGTGAGGTTGGGGGGACACATGACGTCTCCATTGGCTGCTTCTCGTTTCGCGTCATCTGTGTTTCCCCCCTCCCCTCCTTCTTGTCGTTTTTTTTTTTGCTTTAAATCCGTTTTCTTCTCTTGACGTCTTGTTTCTGCTGGTGCCTCGGAAAGGAGCACAATGGCAGACGAAAGAGGGCTTGACCTCCCCGTGAACTCTGAGATGCAACCGCAGACGTACAGTGACATGTGTGCGGCCGCGCAAAGGGGGCAACTCTTGGGAGAGACGCGAGTGCATGCCTTGGCAGTTGAGCCTCTTCCATACGTCTGCATGCTCTCCGGTGACGGCATGGAGTTCATTATTCCCGAGGCTGCTGCGCGCCAGAGCAAGATGATCGCTTCTTTGCTTGACGCCATCTACTCCCTCCCAAATCGTGGAGGATTCGGCGAGTCGCTACAGAACAAACCGGCTCCCGGGGTTCTTGCCGTGAATAGCGTCAATGTGATGCCGAGGATCCCACTTGAGCCCCTGTCCGGTCGCACCCTCGAGCTTGTCTGTCGGTACTTGCTGCAGCGCAGCATTGGGGACCCCAACTCCACGGAAGAGTTCTCTCTTCTTGGGGAGCTCGACCCAATGTCGGACGAGGACCAGGATCTTGTGTCGGAATTGCTGCTCGCATCCGACTTCATCGACTGCTAGCAACTCACTCCCTCCCTTACCAGGTGCCAACGTCGCCGTTGACGATTTCTCGTGCTGTGGTGGCTCCCATGCTGGGCGGTGTGCCGCCAATGAAGAGGGGGCCGACGGTCTTTGCCCTCCTCTCTGTAGTAGTGGCTCTTGTTGCCGTCCCTCTCCCTTCACTGCCTCTCTCTCTCTCTCTCTCGCCCCCGTTGCCCACTGCTGCAGCTATTTCTCTGCTTTGCCCACCTCCACTCACGACTGCCACCTCTGCAGCTATCACGAGACCTAACGACGGCGCAGAAAAAGGAAAAGAAAAGTCGGAGGGGAAAATTTAAACAAAAAAAAGGAGCCCAATAAAAAAGTAGGAACCAATACTTTAGGGATAGCACTGAGGCTCCACACACACCCTTTTGTTCTCTACCACACACACACGCGCAGCGCGCACGCATCTCGCCTTATATATACTTATTGCCATCAATGGGGGCAGCCGCGTCATCCGGGAGACAAATCTCACGCGTGGCGAGCGCTCCACCCCACGATCGCTCGCAGGCCATGCTGCTCGTAAACGGATCCGTGAGACGGGCCGCAAGAGGAAAGGTCAACCGCCCACTGTCCCACGGGGATATTGGTGTTGATCTTGGTGCCATGCATAAGATCGATCAGCGGCGCAAAAAGACCGGGACCGCTAGCGGGGCGGGAATCCAAGACACAAGTAAAGAGGCTGATCCTGCCACGTTGCACATTCTCAGTGCCGTGAAGGAGGTGGACGCGTTGCCTGATGACAAGGCCTCACTGAAACTGCAGTTGCTGCGTGGGTGCTACCCCTTTCTTGCGCAGGTTCCTACACACCGTTTTGACCACCTCGCGGTACTCGTGTACCAAAAGGAGGGTGACGTGTACTTTGGCCAAGGCGATGGGGAAGGTGCCAAGACGACATACAGTCGTGCTATTCAAATTGCGGAGACGCGTGTGGCCCGCGGTGAGAAGGAGATCTACATGGTTCTCAAAAGATACGTTCTGGCCATGGTGGGCATGGCACGTTTGTGGTACGCGCAGGAGCGCGAGACCACCGGCTTCACGTTTGCTGACAAGGGCCTTCCCACAATGATCTCGCGGGAGGACAGTACCAGCTCGTTTAGCTCCTACGAAAGTAGTGTGCTTTCCGACACTAGTATGTTTAGCCTGAACCAAGAAATTCTCAAGTCGATGGCGCCAAAATCGCCACGCCGTCGCGCTGGTCCGTCAGTCAACGTCGTACGATTGCTTCGCCCGGCGACAATGAAAATGAACTTTACGGCTGAGGACGATTTTGTGCTGCGGAGCAAAATGACACGCGAGTTAAAGGCATCTCCGTGTGAGTTGTTGCTGCTGCGCTGTATCGAGGTAGTAGAGATAGGACACCGGCGGCAGTCCGAGCTGCTCATTCCCGCCCTTATTGAGCTGGCACAGATATACGAGGACTTGCGTCTGTACAATCGGTCCCTCCTGCTGGTGCGCCGTTGCCTTGGTATTTTATCTGTTGTGTATGATTACGATCATCCGTGGATAATACAGCTGCGGCGCCGTGCGGACTTTCTTATGAAAGCTGTAGAGGAAGAGACAAAGGAGACCATGGCGACGAAGATTCAAGCTACTTGGAAGATGTACAAGGCGATGCGCCTACTAGAAGAGGCTCTTGGACGGCCGGTCACACGCCATGTGTGGAGTCCAGCGACGTACCATAGTCAAGCAAACGATAGGGATTTCCTAAAGGACTTTGTGAACGACCTGCCGGAGGGCACCGTGCTGTATGGCTCAGGTGAAGTGCCGGGCGTGTTTGATACGGGTGGTGTGGCGGATGAGGAGCACGGGGCGGATGGCGGCAGACGCAGCGTGAGCGACGGGTCCTCGTCACCAGCGGCACCACGCGGCGAGGAGGGCCGTGGGCTGTCACCGGAATCGAGGATGGAGCGGCCACCGTCTTCGCTGCGACGTAGCACGAGAGTGATGGAGGGGTCTTCACCGCCTTTACCTGGCGCTGAGGGGCCTCACGAGGAGTTCCCCGTCGCGGCGGAGTACCCACCGATGCATGCGGAGGGACGGACCCCTGTGAACACCACGTTCATTCCGAATGGAAGGGTGGTCAACACGGCACAGGAGACGCAAACTGACACGCACCTGCAGCACACTGCCTACGGTGGGGTATTGACGGTTCGCACGACGACGGTCACCCGCACCACAACGGAGCGAGAGGTCGGCAGCGACGAGGAGGACTCCGTTGACGAGGAGGAGGAATACGTTGCTGCGCACGACGCAAGTGAAGCCGAGGGAGGGGTCAGGTCGCCATCTGGTAGAATCCTCGAATTTGACCCATCGAAGCGAAATGCTTACACTGCCGCTTCTTCCTCGAAAAGGAGAGGTGTGGGTGACTCCGACGCGAGGGGGAAGATCAGGGTGTCGGTAACGTCTCCGCTGCCACGCACTTCAAGGCATGGGAACGACCACGTGAGTAGTGCTTTCGCAACGGCTACAGATGGAGCCAGCAGCGGCCATGTGAGAAATGGTGCGGTGCGCAACCCCGAGCCTACGATCCCGTCTGATGCGCCAATGAGCCGCTCGCCCTCCGTGCAGGAAGAAGGCAGACACCGCATGCGCAGTCTGAGGGCCCAGCATGGGGAGTAGTGTCACTCTGCGGTCACCCCCACGACGTCTTGCTTCAAGTTCCCGTGGCTTCCGGCCGCCAAGCGAGGGCAGGGGGAAGAGGGAGGTATGAGATATAAGTTTCGCGGACACAATTCCACGTACCAATGCGTAAGCGGCAAAACCAGAAGTGGTGTTAACAGGGGTACAAACTGTGAAGAAAAGAGGGGGAAAAAAAAGAACATGATAATGATAGTGTAGTAGCTACAAAGTCGTCTTGTTTGCCAGGCAATCCTGGTGTGTCCTCGTCTGACCGCTTTTGAAGCCGGAGCCGAGGAAAGTGGAGCCTCTTTCATACTTTTATAGTTGTTATGGGTTTTTGTGTGTTATTCTCTTGCTTTGTACATGTGTCGTTGGGGAGATTTCGACGTGGTCTTTTCTGTCACCTCTGCAAGCCCCCCAGCTGTTGCATGGTGTGTGTATGTGTGTAGGAGGCACGGATGGGGCACGCGGGAGGTGCGTGCGGGGCTTAGAGGACAAAAAAAAAAAAAGTGAAGAAGAAGTAGTTGTGCGTTTTTGGGTGCGGCCCCGGGCACTTCCCTCATTCCCTTCAGCAAGTTGCAACAACTTGTCACTTGCGCCCACCTCCCGACGGTGGCAGCGGCGAGGGAGCAAGGGCTCTGCAGGGGTCAAACGCACATATTTATCTTCGCCTGTTCTGCGCAGTAACTAAACTCTCGCTTTAGTATATTTTTTTTATTGCGTTTGCGAGGAGCAACGAGGGGGCGGCGGGGCAAGAATGGGGAAGAGTGGGCGGCGGGGGGCGCTGCAGGACAGATGCTCTGGGTGGGCAGCGGGCTTTGTATGTTTCTGCGTTCTAGAGGGGAGGCAAGTAGGTTGGATGAGGAATTGGGGGCGAGGTTCATAACGCCGCGGCTGCGGTTGGCCGACCTGCCCACGGCAATGCACGCGGACTCTACCTCCTCTCCCTCAATCACTGCAAAAAAAAAAAAGAAGCGAAGAGTAGCAGGAGTTGTTTTTTTTTCTATGTGTATGTGTGTTTTTCCGCCTCTCCTTCTGTATATTCCCATCGGTTCTCCCCCACCCACCCCACTCACACACTCTCTTACCGCAGTTTTTTTTTTTTGCTTTTCTCTTTCTTTGCCCGCTTTAGCCTGCTATTTTGTTTCCTTCACCGTTACGTCGTCATTTGGCCTTCGCTTTGGCTTCATTGCCCCCCGCCCCCATCCTTTTTTTTTTGCTTTTTTATTGTATGTAAATAAGTGTGACTTCTGTGCGGCGCAACCTCACACAACAATGTTGGTTTCTCTAAAGTGAATGACACCGCACGCCCTCTCTCCCTTGCGGCGAACGCCAATCGCCTGATGACTGAGTGGGCAACGGCTTCTGTCGCGCAGACTTCAAAGCACTCCCCAAGGCAAAGGTGTTGGCCAAGTTTGCCTCGCTCACTCTTCTTTTCTCTTCTCTTTTTATATGTGCGTTTGTGGAGATCGTGTGGCCAGCCGAGTGCCGTTTTGTAGAGTGCTTCACAAAGGCGCTCACCATTTAGCGGGGCTGTAGGGATCAATGCGCAGTGTGCGTCAAGCTTACCTCCCACTGCGGCCGGTTGGTGGGGAGGACGTTGGCGGCAACAACAGGAGCAAATTGGCCGCGTTGACGTCGAGCTACTTGGTCGTGGGAAGCGGACCTCCGCAGCATCAACAGTGGCGTCAGAGTTCCGTCCAGGCCGCCGGTGCGTCGTCGAAGTTACTCAGCAGGGAACTCTCCGCCCCCGCTGTGACTGCCACCACCACCGGCGAGGGAAGAGGCGGCGGCGTGGGAAACGCGTGGACAACGACGGCGCATCCGACGCCATTGTTTAACGGATTAAACGGGAGGAGCGCCGAGGCCACCGCTCCAGACAAAACTGCCGAGCTCCTGTGGGGGAGCGGCCCCCAGCAGGACGGCGAGTCACCATTGAGAGTGTACTGGGAGACTGTCCCGGGCGGGTTGGTGCAAAACCAGTCTCCGGCCTCAATTTTTCCGCCCCTGCCTGGCGTCGACGACAACAACAGCAGCGGCGGCGGCCCCAATGTGAGGCGGAGTTACGAACACGAGGGAGGGGCAGGCAGTGCGGCGTCGCCTGGGTCGAACAGCGGGTTCAGTGGGGCCGAAGTGCCCCCGGGGACGACGCCGAAGGACAGCCTAATTCGGCAGCGGGCCTCTGTGCCCCGCAGAGCAAGGGCCAATGCATTCAGGGTAACTAACAACCACCCTGATGCGTCAGGTAATACGGCAGTTTCCGCCAAGGGGCCTTTCTCGCCTGGGAGGAACAATAGCAGCGATCCCACCAACGAAACATGGGCGTCAACTGAGCATATTTATAGCCAAGGAATTGGGCAGAAAAGTTATGACAGGAGCAAGGCTACTGAGGTCCAAGGTGGAGCGTTGAGGTCCTCCGATCAGCTCCGCACGGAGGCGAATTACGAGAATTCAAGCATGGCGCCCAGTAAGGGCCAGTCGCAAGTTGTTGGCACACTTTACCGCGGTATTGTCCCTAAGCCGCCTGTGCAAAACTTGCCTTTGTACAGTGAGGCGAGAGGAGATGTGCCGTTTCTGCCTCCCAACGCCATACGCATCTCCACAACAACAGTGACACGGACTGTGCGAACGGTGAAGTATTTGCCACTTGACGAGGAATACGTTGATAGCGATGAGGAAGATACGTCGCCTGCTGATGATTTCCCACCCGGAATTATGCTCAATATTGATAATCAAGGACACCGTGCATCCAAGCATGTGCCTCCTTTTCCGCAATTGACTGGTGCATTTGCTCAGCGAGGAGGGATTCAACTGGCGCAGCGTGCCGCGAATGGGAAGTTGGCAAGAAATGCGTCGGCGTCCCGATCTTCGCGGATTACCAGCGGGTTATCACCAATGGGCATTCTGGGGTCGCACAAATGGGCCCGTCGTCTCCCTGTAACTCGGGAGTCTTCTGTTTTTCACGAAGGATACCCGGCAGCGGCTCCCATCTCGGTTGCATCAGATGAAAAAATTGGTACGGGTGAACCCCAGTTTCTTCTTCAGCAGCACAGACAGAGTCTCGTGATTGAGGGGGAAATTGTCGGCTCGAAGCGGCGTGAAGGCAGTTACGGGGCCTCCAATGAAGCAGAGATGAGTCCATTTATGGGGTCTCCAGGTGGTATGAGAAGGTCTGTCACCGGGCGGGGCAACACAAGCGCTGCGGATCCCAAAACTGCAACGAACACGGCTGATGGCCACCCTTCTTCCTTTCCCAGTAAGCCTCCGCCGGACCCTTTGGATAACAGCCTCAATGGGACGCAGTTATCTGCGTCCTCGCGTGGCGCTCATTCCTGCACCACAGTCACACAGGCTATTTCAATGGACGACGCCGTCGGTAGTCCGATGGCTGTAGTTTTGATTAAACGTCCGGCAAATTTGAGTCCTCGCGAACTCGCAGTTGAAGACGAGCTATGGGCTGAGGAAGAGGAATACGAGGAGGAAGAGGATGGAGAGCGCCACCCGCTCTACGTGTGCCCCGCGTCACCAACGCTGACGATTCCCGCCTTAAAGGCGACTATGCAAAAACTCGACCTCCATTGCGAACCGCATGAAGACGACAACGAGAGTGGGAGCGATGAGCTACAAAGCTAGCTGAAGTACGGGAATACAAAGGGGGAAAAATAACTTTGCTTTTTGACTTCGCCTCTGTGTTTTCTTCACCTTCCTGTGTACTGTACACCGTTATCCCTATCTATATTTCTCGTTTTTTTTCTTTTCCAGTATGTGGGAGGTTTTCTATTTGTTTCTCTTCCCTTTTCCAAGCGACAAAAATCGCAGTAGACGTGCACACGTATATGTATCTTGCGAATAATTTCCTTTTTCCCGACCCCACAACAACAGTAACAAAAGAGCTGGTGGTTTGCGCCTTTTTTTTGTTGTTTTCAGTGTGCAT